ACCAAAAGTCGTCCACTTTAGACTAGCACTGCAGCAACACTAACCTCTCCAAATTGACTGAATCAATTAAAAATAAAGAATTTAAAGCAGTTGGCACCAATTGGTGCCAATTTTAACTAACCCTTTGGCACCTGGTGGGTGCTAGGGTTGGCAAAAGTTGGTTAAGTTAGCAAAAGTATCCCACTGACTAGTATGACCCACTGACTAGTAAACCACGTTAAAGATAAAAGAATTAATTTCTTTAGTTTTAAAAAAAGAAAGCATGACTTGTTAGTAGACTTATAGGGGATCTTAGTGGCCATTTTCCTTAACAATTTTCAAAATTTAAGATATCTTTAGATTTAAAGCAGTGTAAAACTAAAACAAAAATATTTATAAAGCTATACTTTTAAGAATTCTATATTTTATTACTTAAATTATATTAAAATAAAACGTTTGAGTTAGGGATAAATTTTGATGATATAAAAAACTTTCCTTAAAGTGGGTGAGTTTGTATGGGTATTCTTAAGAGGGGGCCGAGACTTTTTCGGGCCCACTGTAGTTTAAAGATGTTGATGGGCGATGGTGCCACTTTCGCCTGGCGGGTATTTCGTTGCCGGATGCTTGGCGTGCAGGCAGGCCCACTAGCATCGATCATCCATGGACCGCCCAATCACCGCCCGCTCTGTACTGGGCGGTCGCCTTACCGCCTGTGTGGGGAGATTTTTTGCGTGCCGGCTACAGCAATTCCCGGACCTGCGCCAAAGGGGCTCCTCAGCAGCCCGTCGCGTCAGAATCGTCCTATTCTCGAGGTCGTCCTATTCTCAAAGCCTTCGAACCCGCTGCCGTGCCGATTGTGTACGGAGGCTCATGCCAAAAGTTTTAATTAAGCGAGTGCAGGCAAAGCCCGAAGTCCCGATCTGCACCAAATTTGTTAGCGAACGCAGAACTTCTCTCAGGGGTAGGTCTAAGCCAACCTTCACACCTTCTCTTCGTTCAAAGCGAGGTTTTTTACAATAGCGAAGAGTCCGGGCCATGGCGACGAGGAAGATGTCAAGGAGAAGGGGATAGATTCAAATGGTTTCCGTAAGTGAAGCAAGGATGAAGGCCTCCGTCATCGACCCTACTCGCATGTAACATTCCACAGGAGCCAACGATTGGGCATGTCTGTATATCGACGGGGACGCTTTGCGTTTCAGACGAAGTGGGTGAGATATCAGAAGAGGTTGGATAGTACTATAAGGGCTTTCAGTATGGAGCAGTTTGATTGCAAGATTGTAGACGCGGTCGTCAAAGGCACTAAGCGCCAGTGGCCCGAGCTCCACATTACAGCCTCATCTTGATTCCTTCCTTTCCAAGCATTCCTACCCCACAGTCCCCGGCCTGGTAATGTCACCATTGATAGATGAATACAACCATATCGAATAATGTCCCAAGATATACCTGCAGGCAAGTCGTTCTACTACACGAACGAATTAACAACGGCACTAATGGGACAGGCGACATCCTCTATCGCCATGGGAACAAGATAATTATCTGCCGTGGTGATAGGGTTACCAAGATCAATCCAGCATTGGCGCGTTCTGAGGCAAAGGTAATGCGTTTCGTTTGGGAGAAAACTACGATCCCTGTTCCCCGCGCGACTGAAACCTCGATCGAAATGGACCATGTGGACGGCCAACCGCTGCATGCCGTGTGGACCAACCTTGCGGACAACGACAAGGAGACGATCGGCGCGCAACTTTGCGATTTCCTCTCCCAGCTTCGACGGTTGAAATGCTCTTTCATCGGTAGTTTTTGACGGGGGACCTGCGAAGAACATCGGAATCACGGTTGTCACGGGAGGGCCGTTTGAGACGGAAAAGGACTTCAATGCCATTCTGCTATCCAGGCTCCGTCCAATATGCTCGACCGCGTATCGAGCGATGTTGGAAGACTCGCTCCAGGAGAATCACAAAGTTGCTGGTTTCGTTCTTAATCCGTATACATCCCGAAGGCGTACGGTCCCTTCATACAGTAGTAAACGCTCAAAGACCCAGCATTTAAAAAAAAAAAAACACAATGCCAATAACAGTGTCAGAAGACTGGGCATGTGGCCCCAGCCTTGTGCCGCACAGTCGAGGCTAGGAACCTTGGAAGCATCGCTCCCGACGGCGCCGTTGACTAGAATCGTCGACACAAGTAGCCCACGGGCTAATCTGCCACGGCGAGACGGCGAAGCAGTCACACGGCGAGACTGGATAGTCTCATCACAAAGTTGTTCTCACACATTGCGACCTTGGTGCGCACAACATGATTGTGAGAGATGGTCGGATTGTAGGCATACTTGACTGGGAAAAAGCTGGGTGGTATCCGGAGTGCTGGGAGTTTGTAACCTTCTGTCGCCAGTCCCGATGGAGTTTGAAGTTCAATGACTTCATGGCCGAGAGATTTCCGAGGCGATACGGGCCAGCCTTTATCACAGATCACTTCATCGGGCAAATATCCTCTAATTAAAAAGATTGCATTATCAATGCGATATATATATTCATATGGGAGCGGGAGTTAACATTGAATCTGTCTTCTTTTTAATAATGTGAATAACCATAGACCAAATTAGTTGAGCTTCCTCTCGACGAACCACGCATAGTTCATGAGTTGGTTCTTGTTGATATTCTCTTAGCTGTCTTGGGGCTTCTCTCCTATCAGGAAGATGGAGGATAGGGTTCTCGGAGGAGATACCAGCACAGCGGAGGGAAATTAATTAATACATGGATCTTCAAACTGAATCTTCTGTGGCAAGAACCCAAACAAGTCAAACTCTAGCCGCCCCTCGTATTCGTTGCGCAAGTCCCGAGTGCATCCAGCTTGTATAAGAGTACTCATGAAGCCACGCCAGACTCTTCGGTGTTCCGGTAGGAATGCATCATGCATCGACATAACAGCCGTGATAAGCTCCTTAGAGTATGGCCTCCCTAGACTCAAAGCAATGGTTCGCAATTCCTCCTCTGCTCTGGCCAAGGCTTGGTCAGCGGACCTAAGCTGTCGGGTTTTGAGCCTGTTTTCCCAAATGACCATGATGCCTCTCAAAGATGGATGATAAGACCACATTAAAGGTCGATGCTTCAAGTTGGCCCAATCTGGGCAAATTTCGCGAAGGTCTACAGAGGCTTCTGCTCCCAAAGCTGCATCTAGTTCATCTTGCAGACTGTTGTCATGGCCCTCGAAAGACTTGTGCAATTCGTCGATCTTCCGAACATATCGATGTTGGATCTCCGCAATCTCGCCTGCGCAGTTATCTTGGTATTTCTTGAGTTTGCTTGTATAGCTGTCCACGAGACTTCGCTTCCTTCTTTGAGCTTGAGAGATTGTTTCATACCGCAAAGAGTCTTCGGAGATATTTTTGTACAGCGTTTTGCCTTTCTGCTTTCCCTTGACTGTGTTAAGTGTCTTGTTTTCTCGGGGTTGAATCGTAGAATTTCGGGCACTCTTGGAGCTGGACGCCGCAGAGTTGTTGATGTCATCGCCATCGTTTTGAAAAGGTCTTGATATGATGACTTCAACAAGGCCTATCCAGGTTTCTCAATATTGGTGTGATATTACATACCTTTTGAATTAGCAGGGCCTGGATACATGGGAAAAACTGTCATAGACCTTTTCGTGTAGTTGTAATAGATGTCGCCTCACTGTGACATCTCGAACTGCAGTCCATGTTGCTGCCTTTCGGAAGCCATAATGTCCGACTGCTCCAGAAGCTCATCTCTGAATCTCCTGGAGCCGCCACCATTTGGATATGGGTTCTATAACTGCGCACATCTCTCGTACGTCTCGAAGCTTCCCATGATAACGTCGAAACACAGCTTCAATGGCATTTTCAACCTCTATCGTTGTCTGGTTGCTATTATACAACTCTTACTTTAAGCCCCTACAAACCACTAGACTTTCAATATAGTAGTCCTCGGTCCTGCTGATTTTGCCCGATCATTAGGAGTAATAGCCTCCTGTTCTTGTGTGGTTTGGCTTGTGAAATAAATCGCTTGAGTTGTCGCAGCGCGAGAGCAGTCGTCCTCGCTGCCGGGCGGGCTGGCTATTCCATACGCTGGAACTCACTCCACAGCACCAATACGTTCCAGACGTTTTTGAATAAGGTCTTCGACCACCGGAACCCACTTCCAAGCGTCTTCCATATCTTCGTTGGTGCTATCCGGAGCTTGAACCTGCTCGTTGAGCACATCTATCCACTGGTCAATGCCAGACCATTGAAGGATATGCCCCCCCAGACCAAGTGTCTGTCCTTTTCGAATCCGGAAGACACTGTGAATCGTACCAGAGGGGAATAAAATGGCCTGTCCGGGCTTAAGGATCCAGTAACGCCATTGTTTCGTGTCATCGTGGTGCTCGATCTTCCCGATCCACTCTTCGCGCTGTTCTTTAGTTGGATGAGACATCCACGCGAAGCCGAATAAACCTTCCTGGATAGTTATCCATGTCGCGAGGCCGTGGCTGTCCGTGTGGGCCGCTGTACAATGTCCTCCTTCCGATAGAAGCACCTAGTGTTCAATATCTCTCCAGTCAGCCCAATCTTCTCTACTTGCCAAAGCCCTCTCGGCGCTATCTCCGTTTAGCACCTTGTCGCGTATCCGAGCCAGGAGCTAGCAGTTCCACCCCGTTAAGAAGTCAGGCAGTGTAGAAGGAAGCGGACAGCTGCAGTCGAGGATATTCCACGGGTCATCTAATTCTCGCAGCCAGACACATGCACAGAGGCATCAGGTACTAATATACAGTCTTCTCTTGCCGGGCTTTGACATCTCTGCGCAGGCACTTGTGTGCCCATCCTACATCATCACACGCAATACCAACTGTTCACACCCCCACATCATGGTCAACGCAGGTTGAGTACACATCACAATAGTTATAGCCACCTAGCAGGCCTGCTACATGGTCTCCAATGCAAGCACCGCGCCACCCCACGATGCCCTCAGGCGACACAACAGGCAAAAGAGCAAAAGAGCAAAAGATGAGGCGATTATCGCCGGGAATTGAGCCCGACGTGGGGGTCGAACCCACAACCTTGAGATCGGTTCTTTTCACAATCGTGAGGGTCTCATGATGATCCTCATGATGATCTTAGTAAGAGTCTCACGCTCTACCGATTGAGCTAGCCGGGCGTCTCGAAAGACGCCGTGTGTCTTGTTGGAATCCCGGTGTGGAAATTGAGGTTATATGCGATATCCACATGATGAAAATTTTGTGTTGGAGTGGGCCGGGCCGCCTGAGCATGGGTGCCCCTGGCAGATGGGGCCCCGAATCCCTGTCGTGCACGGGCCAGAAAGCGGCTGTCGAGCGTGTTACTGTGTAGGTAGCTTCAAGCGACAGCACCCCTAACCCTGTGAGTGTAACCTGCTACCGGGATCGACGACTGTGTGTGTCTTGACCGATTCAGGCCAACATGACTGACGGGTGCCTCGTACATTACTCGAAAATCTCTGTGTCAACCTAGGACCCTGCCTAGGCCATGATTCCAGCTGCTGTGTTGGCATGACGGCAGTTTCGATGCAAGGAGAGACCCCCTTTGGACTTCACCTGCTCCTGTGGTGCTGGGAAGAAGGGGGAGTGTCTTTGATGCAGATCACAGGATATCTGCATGTTTTTGGGCGACCATTGCGTGACAAATTGGGTCCTCCAAGCCAGACATGAGCATTGGCGGCCTGCAGTTTCACATGTGGACTCCGTTTCAACAAGACAGCTCAAAGCACCCAAGTAGATAACGAACATGTATTCGACTGTGTGAACATTCAACTGCCTGACTGCCTGTGTTCGTCGATACACTCAATCAAAATGGTGCATCTCATCCCTTGCACCACGAAAAGGTCCAGGCACTCCAACAAGGGACCCTCCACACAGTTTCCAAGGACATAGCCAATGGGCCTCTTCCATCTACTACATTTGTAGTAGATGGTCGGCCACATCTCGAAACCCTCTTCCCAAGTGCTTCATCAGGCACAAAAAATTTGCCCCACTCTCTGCATTATGAGGGGCTGACTTAGGTCCGTCTTCAACGCGTCCAGGACAACGTCCCATCATTCTTCTCTCAAGATCCGCGCGTCTTCCATTCCAGCGGACTCACATCACCTCCAGCTCCTCCGCCGCGCAGACCACGGAGGTTCGACCACAGCAAGCGATGCGGGAACCAAAGATGTGGCGGGGCAGGAGGGTGACTTCCGGCAGAGAGTCGACACTTCCATGTGCGCGCGAGACCGAGCGTTAAATAATTCCCAGTTCAAATTGTCGTTCGTCGTATGCTTTCTTCCCTGATACACACGCACATGTGTGTGCGGACGTGTGTGTGTGTGTGTGTGTGTGTGTATCTCCCCTGCTGAGGTAAAAGGGAACCGGGAGTGACGTCGTCTAAACTTTCCGCGGAAGACGTGCCCGTCCGACTTCTCCAGCTTCCAGGCCGTGCTCATCCGGTGGGTGTGAATGAGTATACGCACGAGGCCTTCCAGCGGGGCCAGACGGGCTTTGTCCGACAAACACGACCACTGCAAGATCACGCCCGTGAGTCAACGAACGGGTGACCACAGGCGAAGCGCTTGCAGTGTGGGTCAGACAGGTTTTCTGATCCGACAACGCGGCCACTTCCAGATTGTGCCCCAGCCTAGCGGCTAGGAAACGATATCTTCCAGTGGGGGCCGGACGGGGGGCTCAACATCTGGCTGACCGGGAGCGTTGGGCGTTGTTGACATCTGCAGCGGTGGAGGCGGGCAGCAGATGGGTCCCAGTCAGCCGACGGAGGATTTTTGCGCTCAACACTATCAGGACGAACAGAGGCCACAGATTGAAGCCCTACTCAAATCATGATGCGGATCGCATGGGGTGGTTCTCTGCGCTCTACACCTCCGATCTTCCGTCGCAGGGGAGACGGTGCTCAAGAGGCGGAACTGAGAACATCGTTGTCGATGGCTCCTCGATCGCGGTTCGATTTTGACCGGTCCCGATGGTGCAAGCCGCGGGCAGGCCCGTTATGGGGCCATGAGTCGTGGTGCCGGCCCGGAGGCAGACTTTGGCGAAACTCGAAGGCCGCCGAGGAGTTTGATCCCGGAGAACGAGGGGACTGCGGAAAGAAAAGTCCCTCAAAGAAAGACAATGAGGAGTGACTCTGCCAGATTATATAGAACGTCCAGCTTCGTACTTTGGTGGCCCACTCACAGTGTCGCATCAGCACAGCAAGCGTTTCAGCTGTGCACCGCACGCCCCTGGAGGTGGCTCGATGTTTGAAACAGCAATGCCCGAGCACTGCTGCCCCTGCGCCGGAATTTTGCACGGCTTCGCGTGGCAAGGATTGTATGGCAATGCGGACATGTGTATACGACACCGCACATTCGTAGTGATGGGTCAGCAGATGTTCTCAGAAAAGCAAATCCATTTTTGTTTCTGTCACCCTTTACAGGACTCCTCAATAGGCGAGAACAAAATGATCATGTGTGCGAACTTCCGGTATTGATATGATTTTGACCCTTTTCCTTCCTCCAGACCAGAGGACCTTTCGAGACTGATTGGGCCCTTTTCCAAAGCAAAGTGGAAGCACATCTTCGTGCCTATTTTCCAGAACAACTTAATGCATTCATACCATCTGGACTGCAGCTGGAATCGAGGTAGTTCCATCACACGTACAAGAGCCTTGTCCTTACTCGATCGAATTTCCCCCAAAACTATGCCTGTGTCTTGCCCACGGGGCTCCTGTCTATTCGGAACGCTCGTACTTTGGCTGGGAGACCTTTTCCTCCTTTTTCAAGTTGGAGGGAGAATCCTTGACCTTGTTCGCGTCGGTGTCGTAAACACCCACATTGTATGTGTCGTAGAGAACGGACCCGGGAGGTAGCGGGAACTCCTTGCAAGCGCGATACGTGTTAGCCGTGCTTGCATCCCAAGGGCTGAGTCGGTATACGTACAATGGGGAGAGCTGTAGAGAATTTGCGGTCAAGGAAGCCCCATTTCTCAGTGGGCTGAATATCGAACTTTGCATTGTTGAGCCTCTCGAAGATTTCTTTCTCAACTTGGACCGAAGACCATTGCTTAGGGAGCGTGCAACGCACGTTCAAGTCCACGATCATGGTTCTCTTGTTGAAATGAGCAGAGACCCAATCGTCACCCCGTCGAACCCTGATGGAGTTACCGACGAACTTCTTCTTGCGGCTGTTCCCAGGGTTGCCGCCGAAGCTGGGAGGCTAATTTGGACGCGTGAAGTAGGTCAGCGGACGGCGTACGAGAAAGAGGTTGCCATGCGATTCTGAAGGACATTTCTTTTGCGGCAGGACTGAAGCGGTAGTAAATGTGCAGAAATGAGAGGCGGAGGGCGCGTTGGCAGGCTGTGGCGCCCTCGACCGAAACACAGCAGAAAGTACCACTTACTGGAGCAAGAGGCTTGCGATCTCCACCCTCGGTCTTGGGTGCGGTGGCCGAAGGGGTCGTAGACACAGTGGCGGCGTGATTAGGGGCCATGGGAATAGAGGAAAGGCTGAAATTGCCATCGCCGCCCTCCCTTTTGACGCGCTTGTTGGGGTCAGGCTTGATGAAGCTGGCGTCGGCTTCTCGCTTGAGGGACATGATGGCCTCGAGCAGGGGAATCAAGAACAATCGGCTGTCGAGATTGGGGTCTTGAGGATCGGGTTCATAGGATTCGAGGACTGGGAGAGGATTCGAAGGGAGGTGGTTGGCCGAGGTCGAGGCAGACGGATTGCGACGCGAATGAGTTGCAGCGTCACTGCTTTAGACAAGGCAGACTGAAGGTAGAAGAGACTAGAATAGGTAACACTGGCGCGAAACGGCCCACGAATTCGACGCGTCTTGATGGGAAGGTGCGCTGTTCGTCAACGTGCAAGCACCCTGGCGAGGCTGCTGCCGTTTCGAGAGAGGTGCCACCCTATGCCAGCAACCACTTCTGCAGATTGCGTGGCTCAACTTTGTTGTACTTGGTCACAGACAGGGGCAACTGTCTTTTTGTAGCTGACTTGCATCGTGACCCAGACGTCCAAACAGGCATGAGTATAAACAACTGCTTGACCTTGCCTGTACAAGGTTTCGGTAACTCTATGTGACTACTTCTCAGCTCCAATCCCCTTCTTGTAAGCCGCCAGCGCCCTCTCTCTGCATCCCTTGTGCTCGACCATTGGCTTTGGGTATCCCGCCTTCTTCGCGATTGCACCCGCGCCTCTCCCATACGGATCATGGATGGCCTTCCCCTTGACGTCTTTGAGCTCGGGGATCCACTTCCGAATATAGTCCCCATCGGCGTCAAACTTCTCGCTCTGGAGCAGCGGGTTGAACACCCGGAAGTACGGCTGTGGGTCCACACCCACCGAGGCAGAGAAGCCCCAGCCGCCGTTGTTCGATGCGAAGTCGCCATCGATCAGGTTCTCCATGAACCACCGCTCGCCCATCCTCCAGTCGATGAGCAGGTCCTTCGAGAGGAACGAGGCGACAACCATTCGGGCGCGGTTGTGCATGTAGCCCATCTCCCGTACCTGTCTCATGGCGGCGTCGACAATGGGGAAGCCGGTCCTTCCCTCGGTCCAGGCGTTGAACCCGTCCTTGTCGTATGACCACTCGATGTTGGAGTACTCGGGTTTGAAAGGCTTGTTCATGCATATGTATGGCCAGTTCACAAGGACGTGTTTGTAGAAGTCCCGCCATGCGACCTCACTTATCCACGTCTTGATGCCGTCGTTCCCAGCATCGAGTTTCTTGGTGGTATTGCGGTCCCTTGCCGCGCGCACACAGGTCCTCGCGCTGATTGTCCCACTGGCGAGGTGGACCGACAATGTCGATGTGCCGTTCTGCGAAGGGAAGTTTCGCTTCGCGCCGTATGAGCCAACCCTCTCCTCGCAGAACTTTTCCAGTCTCTTGTGCGCCTCGTGCTCTCCAGCAGGCCAAATGGAGGCGTATCTCTTGGCGTCTTCTGCTGAGAGTCTTTTCTGTTCCGGTGCCTCTGGGATCTTACTGTCGAACAGCTCCTCGTACTTATCCCTCGCGGATGCGGGGTTCTTCGACGGGCTGTCAAAGGTTTCCAGGAGATCCAGGTTTGCATGGACATGTGCGACCCAGGAGCGGTACCAGGGAGAGTAAACAGCATATTGCCTCCCGGAGCCAGTGATGAGCTTACCTGGGG